GTATCCAGAAAAGCTGTCAGTCATTTCCAATCCATATCCAACCTTGCTCCTCCTGTCATTAATCTTTCTATTATAGATTGTATCACACTTTGTATCACCGAAGAAGACAATACATCACTAGGTAGGATGCCAGATGATAAAGAAATCAAAGAAGCAATCTTTAACCTGAGTGCAAATAGTACTGCAGGTCCAGATGATTTCAATGGTGCATTTTTTCAAAATTGATGGGACATCATCTATAAGGAGTTAACTGCTTTTGTGATGGAATTCTTAAGGGGAAAAGGTTTGACTAAATTCTACTGTCATACATGTCTTGTTTTAATTCCTAAAGTAGATAATCTTGCTACATTTTCTGACTTTAGACCTATTAGTCTTTCTAACTTTTCTAGCAAAATTATTTCTAAAATCATCTCTATAAGATTGAATACTCTCCTGTACAAATTAGTCTCTCGTAATCAAAGTGGATTTATTAAGGATAGGTTGATTTCTGAAAATGTTTTGCTTACTAAGAAAATTATTCATCATATTGCTGATAATAATAAAGGTGGTAATGTTGTGATTAAACTTGATATGGCTAAAGCGTATAATAGAATGTCTTGGAATTCATCTATGGTGTTTTAAGGAAGTTTGATTTCTCTGATAATTGGATTGATATGATTCACAAACTTATTTCTAATGTGTAGTATTTTGTCATTGTTAATGGTACAATGCAAGGTTTTTTTTTCCTGCTTTCAAGGGCTCAAACAAGGGGATCCTCTTTCCCCTTCTTTATTCATTATAGCAGCTGAAGTCATGTCTATATCTCTTAATTCTATGTATATGAATCCTAAATTCATCTCCTTATCCATGCTTGCTAATGTCCCAAAGATTAACCACTTAGCCTATCCTGATGATATAGTTATTTTTTATAGTGATAATTCTGCCTCTGTTAAACTTGTCATGAAAACTATCTCTTAATATGAGAGGAGTTCTGGTCAATTAGTAAATAGGGATAAAAGTTTCTTCTTAACAACCACTAATACTGCTGCTATCAGAATCAATAAAATTAGGAATTGCTCTGGTTTTATAGATAAAAATTTTCCTCTTGATTATCTTGGGTGCCTTCTTTATGTGTGGAGGAAAAAAATTAAATACTATAACAACATGGTTAGCAAAATTGTTAAAAAGCTCAATGGTTGGTAGGGTAAGTTTCTATCTTATGGTGGTAAGGTTGTCTTGATTAAAAGTGTGCCTCAATGTGTTCCTATTCATACTTTGTCTGTTATGTCCTCCCTAAAAGGTATTTTTAAATTAATTGAAACGCATTTTGCTAACTGTTTTTGGGGCAATTCTGTTGATCATAAACGATACAATTGGAGTTCTTGGAATAATCTTGCTCTTCCTACTGAGGAGGGGGGAATTGGCATCAGGAAATTGGAGGATATAAGTGACACGTTAGCCATGAAAAGATGGTGGAGGATAAGGTCCGCATTATCTCTATGGGCTACATACATCAAAAACAAATATTGTGTGAGGGCCCACTTAGCCTCTAAGAAAATGGCTCCAGGTAACTCTCATACTTAGAGTCATGTTATCAAAGTGAGGAATATTGTAGAGAAACATATGATTTGGCAGGTAAACTCCGAGTCTAGTAGCTTTTGGTGGGATAATTGGTACTTAAAGGGCCCTCTTGCAGTCTTGGTCCCTAACACTCCCAAGAGTGCTGGGACTTTGGTTGGGGAGTTCATTACTAATGGTCAGTGAAACATTTGCAAATTGAAGGACATCCTTCCAGATCACTTAGTTCATCTCATCAGTTCCATTGTCATCGGCAATCAAGATATTGGCAATCAATTCTGAGATCTTTTTGATAGTGGTAAATATTCTAATTAGAGTGCTTGGAATCTGGTAAGGAAGTTTAGTCCTAGAGTGCAATTCATCAACAAGGTATGGTATTTTAGTATCCCTTTCAAAACGTCTTTCTTGGTTTGGAGATTGCGGAAAGGTAAGTTACCTTTTGATTAGGTGATTACCAAGTTTGGGAAGCAAATGATTTCTAAATGTAACTGTTGTCTAACTTCTACTACTGATAGCATGCATCATGCATTCATAGAAGGACATGCTGCTAGTTATGTTTGGAATCTAATTGAAAATGCTCTTGGTATAACCTATCATCCCCACCCCATTAGATATATATTGAAAAATTGGTGTATTACTAAAGCTGTCAATGATGTACATATGATAGTGCTTGATACTACTCCTATTGTCATATGCTGGTTTTTGTAGAAGGAAGTATGTGCTTGCAGGTATGGAGATCAAAAAAAGTTCAACATGTATAGATTGAACCAACAAATATCTTGGGAGTGTGGAGGCAACAATCAAATAGGCATTACCCTAAATGCAATTTCAAAGTGCTTTGGAACACCTTCTGTGACATATTGACAAGATTACAACCTGCTCAGAAATGTATCGTGGTTAATTGGATCAAACCATGCATGGGCAATGTCAAGATTAATACAGATTGGAGCTATCTCAAAGTTGAAGGAAAGGCAGGAGTAGGTGGATCACTTAGAAATGAGAATGGTGACACTATTATGGCTTTTTCACTCCCCTACATATGCGAGAATCACAATTTAGCAGAAGTATATACATCGTGGATTGGTATCTACTGGTGTGTTCAAAATGGCTTTACGATAGTCACCCTATATCTGAACTCTCTATACATTGTAGATATCCTTCGTTAAGAGAATACAACTAAATATAGGCTTAGTCAGATTACATACAAGATTGGACATATTTTAAACAACTCTGAAATCCAGATTTCGCACTGTTATAGGGAGGCAAACCAACTTGCAGATTGCTTAGTAAAAATGGCTGCAAAATCTCAAGAGGCTGCTCTCTTCTACTCTAACCAACAATTGCCCGGGGAAGCTAAGGGGCCTTTTCATCCGGATAAAAGACAGATGCCAAGCATTAGAACCAAATATGACAATGCCACCTTTTTTGTTAGCTAGACACTTTTTTATTAGGAAACTGGTAAACTAGTGTATAATCACCCATGCCTTATCTTTTGTAGAGTATGCTCTACCCTTGTATTGTACTAATGAAACTCCATTTTGATATAGTGGGAAAATATATTTAAAAGAAAAAAAGAAAGAAAAAAAACCCACATTCAAAAGAAGACGAAGAGCCTTCTTGGGCCGATAAGTAAAACTTTACTCTATCTTCAACCACACGCCCCAAAGATAAAGAATTCTTCTTCTTCATTTTTCTTTACAATACTACAATACTTTGTCTAATTTCTTAGTTCCAGATCAAGAGAACAAATATAATAATTACGAGTTATGTGTAGTGGGGCTTTTTGTTGGGACCAATAACAGCTTCTAAAATCAGCAAATTGTGTATAGCATGTCCTCTTTGGTACTTCATTTATTCTTTCTAGTTGAAAGTTGAAACTTTTACAAGGATGCTTTTTAAGGAAGCTAGAGAAGCAACGAAATCTTTTGGTAGAAATGTCGTCCGGTGGTCACTCTAAACGACATCTATTTAGAAATTAGTCATAATGCCCTGAATTTTAGATTTTTAATTTAATTTTTCGAGACAAAAATATCTTGGATTGTTGATTTTAATTCAAATTTTCAGGACAAAATTAGTACTAGCTAATTCCTTAATAGCAACCTTAAGAGTAGTTGTTTATGTACTTCCCCAAGCCTTTGCTCTTTCTTCTTTTTCTTCAATTCTACCATTTTCTTGCTTCTGTACAAAAAAAAAAGAAGTAATTTTACTTTACTTTTTCTTTTCTTTAGCTTATGTTTTCCTGAGCTGAGAATCTATTGGAAACAACCTTTGTATCCTCATAAGGTAGGGGTAAGGTCTGCGTACACACTACCCTCTTCAGACCTCACGATGTGGGATAATACTGGGTATGTTGTTGTTGTTGTTTTTCTTTTCTTTTCTTTTTACTTCCTTTTCCTTTTTTATTTCTTTCATTTGTTATTGCATTGAGACATCTTTTTAAAGTGTACTAGTACTTAACTCATCAAACTATTGCTCGTTCGTTTTTTTTTTTTTATCTATGTCGAACTTAAAATTACGAGAGAACAATTTCGTAAAGCTTCTAAATATGTAAAGTTTTAGTTTAAAATTTTGAACTATCCAATTTCATATTTCTCAAAGGTTTTGAATCTACTTATGGGAGCAAAAAAGAGCAGCACTTTTTCAAGATGCACATAGTTTCTAACGCCTCTCATTTAATGTGCTATTAAAATCTACTGTACAACATAAAGTATTATTATTCTGTGCTGTTTTAGCTTGTTAATAAAAGGCTAACATGTTATATCAACTTCCTATTCATTGGGTTTTGTAATGTTAATTTCAAATTGTCCCCAGATTTTCATTATCAATGAAAGCTTAAATTGGTCTCTCAATACACTCCACTCCTTTTTCATATTGTATTGTAGCCCCATTGTTTCTTTGTTACTTTGCATACAGTTTTAAAAGTATTTCACTTTTTTGATTTGATTTATAAAATTTCAACTAAATAAAATTCTTCTTTTTTTATAACAATCAGTTATACGAAACTTTTTGATCGATTAATTTATATTCGTGGCGAGTATGGTATAGGATGTGAGATTTGTTTAAGGAAAACGTTACTGAAATTTCTCCATTCCTAGACATAGTTTTTTTACTTTTAAGCTCGAATATATTTTTGGATAGTGGTAGATTGATCTTATCCGTCCCAATTACCATCACATACTTTGATGGTCTTGATTTATTATAAATATAAAAGGAAAAAAATGTAAAAATATTGCTTTATCATAATTTTAGGAAAACAGATAAGCATCACTAACGCTGAGTCCGTTAGTTCCGTTCTAACGGCCCCAGATTTCGTAGTCCACATATTTTCATAGTCAGACGACAACGTGGAATCCGATACTTGTACGACGTGCAAAATATTTTGTACTTTTCCCCCGAAAATTCCACCAATTCTTGAATTTTGATCCACAGGCAAAATCCCCACCCCACCCCTCCCATAACCAAAGGGGCAAAATCCCGCTTTTGCTTTAGCTGGTTCTTTTTGGCCACGCCCCCACTCACCTAAGCCAGTCTCGCCTGTATTAGAAGGTTCAGTAATATTAGTGTTTGTTAATTCCACAAAACCCTACGCCAGAAACTTCTTTTATTTATCAGTTCTTGGTCAAATAGATGCATCTTCCACATTAATCAGGTACTATTTGATATGCCCTTTTCATTTTGGGGAATTTCATCTTACATTGGCTATGGTCTCTGTAATGTGTAGAAATTAGTGGGTTTGTGTCGGTTTGTGTCTTTGTGTGTTTGGTGGCATTTGGGTTTTGTATTTTTTGTCTTTTCTTTGTTTGTTGTGTTTTTTTGATACTTGGGTCTTGCATTTCTAATTTTCTATGGATAGTTTCATCTTAAATTTGCTATGACCTGTTAAGTGTGTGCAAAATAGATGTTTTTTTTTTGTGTGCTTGTGTGTTTTATGTGCATTTAGCAGTCTAGATTAGCTTAACGAGAAATTTTCTTCTAATACTTTTATTTGTATTTGCATAATGAGATGAATTTAAATGGAGTAATATAGCTGCCCCGAATTTGTTTGGGGCTGAGCGCAGCAGTTATTGTTGATGTTGTGTCTTTGTACTGGCGTTTATTCATTTCAATGCATATTTTTGTGTTTGATCATGTAAGTAAAAACAAGGGAACGTAACAAGGGAGAAATTGTATTTATCCCTGTCTCCACCTATTAGCTGTTTACGCCGTTCTGGCCATTTTTGGTGATTGAATCTGTGGGTTTGTATGACAGATCTGTTTTTGTGAAAATAGAAGTTCTGCGGGTTTCGTTTTGTTGTATTATGGGAAGTCAAAGATAGCTAGAGTTGGTGGATAATTGAATTGTGATTCTGAATGCACCTATACCTCAATGAGCCATTTGATATCCTACATGACCAATGAGGTCAAAATTATTTGGAAGGAGGAAATTCAAAAGAGATGGTCATGCATGTCTAATGTCTTATTTGCTGCCTCAAGTGAAGGGCATATGTCAATTTCAATTAGTTATAATAGGCAGCGTATGCTGGTAACATGCTGGCGGATGTCATACTTTACGTCTTATATATTCGAGGTTGACTTCTATTTTATTTGAAAGAGTTACAATTTATCTCACAAGCAGGAATCGATATTCAGCCATGTGAAAATGGTGCTTGTTTTTGGTGTTTAGCGTGTTGCTTGTTAAAACTTTTGTATGTCAAACCATCATCCAGTATTTAACCTGGTCCTCATTAGGCTAGAAAGCAACTTCTAAGTTATCTTTTTAGTGGCTACCTTAATACTTTTAACGCTCAGCCATGGGCTGTTGAAAACTGCTTGTTGTGCATTTATCTGGTTTTCTGGCAGTTCTGGATCATGTTTAAGAGTATGAGTTAGCAGGCTATCATGTGATGGAGGACAAGTAAATGGATAATTGCATTACAGGGTTAGGTTAGTCATCAAATTCAAACGTAAATGATGTCAAACTTATCATTTGCCGTGCCCTCATGCAGAAAAGCTGGCATTTCTTTCACTCTTTTTCTTGTCACCTTTACGAATTTGCCTCATTAAGATCTTAGCTTTCCTCATCTGACCAAAGAAGACTTTGATACATTGACAATTTCCTTATATCGGTGCCATTCTGAATCTGCTATAATCTTCTAGTCTTTACATTCATTTGATGGCTCTGATAGACTTACTGCTTCTTTTACATGGAAAAGGTGACTCGGGAATTATGTTGTCCATTTCACATTTTCACTTCAGATCTTCTATCCTATATTGTCTGTGAGTGTATGTATATTGTGTGACTTATACATTGCTGTGTTATTCAAGGTTGGAATATTACTCTGCCTTAAAACAAAATATTTAGTTCTTGTCCATTACAATTGTCTTAGTATTAATTAGCCATTTTAAGTGAAAGGATCCAAGTCTGAGATTTTACTTCATCGGGTGCAATAATGACATTAGAACTAGGACTCTTTCTGTCAGTTCACTGGGTAAACAGGAGAGTGAAAGTGTGCCTTCAACGTTCCCAGGGGAAGAAAGACACCATGGAATTTTACACCTCCTCTGCTGATTTTAAATAAATCTTTCTCTCTTCTCTTCGGATTTTTTTTTGATGAATAATAGTCGCCCTTTTTCCTTGGGTGGCTTTCTCCATAACCAGCTTACTTCTCCCGCCTTAAAAAATTATTTTCTTGAATTGAATTCCTTTCCTGTGTTACTTATTTTTCAAAATGTTCAATTAATGATGGACATCCCAATCCACCACCAAGAGGTTGGAAGTGGCCTACAGCTTCTACTCTTCTACAACACATCAACCTTCTCTTTAGTTCTTGTTTTCTGCCTTCTTTGCTTTACCCATAGAAACTTTTAGGGGTCGTTTGGTTGGGAAACAAGTTATCCCAAGATTAATTATCCCGGGATTGTTATCACACCCTCCCATAGGGATAAAAAATAACACTACAATCCCGGGATTAGTTATACCGCGATTTTATCCCAACCAAACGCGGGAATAAACTCATCTCAAATTTAATCCAGGGACTAATTATCCCTTATCCCTCGTACCAAACGAGCCTTTAGGGGTCGTTTGGTACGCGGACAAAATTATCCCGGAATTATAATCCTGTGATTATAATCCCGGGACTAATTTATCCCACCTGGGGGTGGGATAATATAATCCCAAGTTTGATGGGATACCGTGGGATAAGGTGAGATATCTTGTATTAATACTGGGATTAAATTTATACCATGTTCGGTTGACGGTATAAATTTATCCACCGTCAACCGAACATGGTATAATTTAATCCCACACCTTATCCCGCGTACCAAATGACCCCAACGTGAACTATTGATTCATGCTGTATACCAATTTTCAATGAACCAAGTGAATGTAAGATTTTAAGATTCTGAGTGCTAAATATTGAGCAGCGTGTTCCACACATACAACTTATTTACACGAGCAAGCATGCAACAGGTTACTGTAATTGCAATGTCAGTGGATGTTTACAGGAGCTAATTCTGTTTGTACTCTAGTTAACTACTTCTTTCCTTATTATTCTGTTTCTTCTGGATAATAAGTGCTGTGATTTTCGTTGCATTTTCTTTCAGAATATTTCCTGAGGTCCTACTGTCATTGTACCGTCTACTATAGTCAGATTCATGAAAGTGTGGCACCAGCACTTGATGTGAAGGTATTTATGCTATTAGAATTGCATGATTGCAGTTACCTTTCCTTTTGGGAACTGGGAATTTGTTGCTTGTTCTACACTCCGGCACTTATTCTTCTGGGAATCTTGTTGCTTGTTCTACACTCTGGTACTTATTCTTCTGGTATCTTTTAGAAAAAAAGGAAATAAAGTGCAAATGTGAACCACACTAGCAAGAACAATTTAATTTTATATGTCGACTTATACGTTTTATAGAAAATTGCTTCCTCCTTCAAATAACTTGTTCTTTATCAAAGGGAAAAAGCCCTACCCTTCGCTCAAAGTCTGATCGAGCTCCACATAGTTTTGCCATTGTAGACTTTGCTTTTCTGCCTTTTAATAACTAAAGTGTTTGCAATATTATAAATAAACATGACTCTGGAAATCCCCTCATGTTGGCGATAATCAGAGTTCAACAGATACCAGGCGACTTTATCTTGACAGCTTACCTTTGGATTTTCTGGATATTTTTCCCTATCAAATATCTGTGTTAGACTTGTTTACCTGCAAAATTCTTGTGGTTATATATTGTTAATACTTTTCAATTAGCCTATATGCACTTGATTTGAGTGATCAGAAAACTGTGCTTCTCGTGGCATAAATTGACGTTATACTGCATTTCATATATAGGCTTACTTTGATGGTCTGCAGCTTCTCCATCTTCCATTTCAGTGATTCCGAAAATGAAACCAAGAACCAATGTGGGGCCAAGGTCCCAGAGGTCCAAAGGTGTTCAGAGTGAGGGGCCAAACTGGGTCATAATTGCAGGCAGTGCATTATTAAGTACATTATCTGTTCGCTTAGGCTACAAGCTGAAGCAGGTGCTTGACTCGAGACAACAGAACAAGACCACCAGCAGTTTAAAAGGTCCAATATTGTTTAAAGCATTTTGGTTTGTCTTGTGAAATTATTCTGCCCTCTTAGATATGAGAAGCGGCTTAAAATGCAGGAAACGAAAAATCTCCTGAAGGAAGGAAGTTAGGAAATGGTCATTTGCAGTCAAGTACTTATTATTTTGCCCAAGATGATGATGGCTGCTACAATTGCAATACAGGTACGTAAACTCTTGCCATCCTTTTGGAGTTTTTAGAATTTACGTTGTTCTTTTTGGAGTAAAAAACATGGCTAGTGATTTGATATTGGCATCATCTTCTTCCAATGATCCTGTTCAGTTTTTAAACTCCCGATTTTGTGAGAAAATAATTTGAACTAGTAAAGTTAATTATAGTTGTATGCATCGAAACTATCATTTGTAAACAACTTATGCATGTTAATGTTGATTTTGTGGTTGCCTTCTAACTTGAAAAATTAGACACGGTCTTCTTGACAAATTAGACTTATTTACAGTTATCTTACTTGCTTTAAGAGGGTTATGGTGATGTCAAGTGAAAGATTGAAACATAATGAAGGAGAATTCATGTGATCAATATGATGCTTTTCTTGGTATACATGTTGCGCTAGCTACCACTTAGGATCAGTTTTTATCTTCTATGCTGAGTTTTCTACAAAAACAGGAGATTTACCAAATAACTAGTGCAGTTAATGAACATTTGCTATTTTTACAAGACAGGAGCTGGAGGATTGGGGGTTATAAAGCAGCAGCAATTTAATGGGTCTGAGCCTGAAATGGTGCTCCCTCTTGTGACTGTTCCTGCCCTCGAATTCAATAAAGAGAATGGTGGGCCGTGGTCAAGCTCTCCTGACCGTCTTGAACTGCCACAGAAACCATTTCATCACTCGAACAGCTCCGAGTCGCCATGCGTCTCAGAATCTGGTTCTGACATATACAGCAANTCCGAGTCGCCATGCGTATCAGAATCTGGTTCTGACATATACAGCAAGCGAGAAGTGATACAAAAGCTGAGACTACAGTTAAAGAGAAGGGACGAAACAATATTAGAGATGCAAGAGCAGATTGTAGAGTTGCAGGGTTCTCTCAATACTCAGCTGTCGCATTCTGCCCATCTGCAGTCATTGCTGGACGCTGCAAACAGGGATCTGTTTGATTCAGAGAGAGAGATACAGAGGTTGAGGAAGGCAATTGCAGATCATTGCGTTGGACAAGTGGGTTCTTGCGATAAGTCCCCAACAGTACCTGTATGGCCAGCTGAAGTCCGATATGGTCATATGAACGGTCACACAAATGGTCACCTGGAAATTGATAGAAATTCGGATACCTCAGATAAGGGAAGAGGAGATGGGGAAAGGTTCGAAATGCTGAAGCGCGAAAAAGATGAGTTAAAAGAAGTGATTGAAGGGAAGGATTATCTGATCAGGAGCTACAAGGAGCAAACTGCTGAGTTATCAATCAAGGTCAAGGAGCTGCAACAAAGATTGGATGCTCAGCTCCCAAATATTTTGTAGGCGCGGTTAGAGTTGTGTATTCTTTAGTTTGCCTCCATCTTATGTTTCTCATTCCCTTGATTGGTTTTAAGCTTCATGATATGGGAATGCTCTTTTCTCGGGTTTCTTCTGTTTTTTTTCCCCTTCCTTTTATGTTTTTATTCCTTACCTCCATCTATTCCATTCTGTTTTCTGTTCATAATGTTTGACGAAACGATTTGGAGAACGTTCGTAGAAGTAGTAGATTGAGTTTGAGGATTGCTTCATGTATTGCTGAACATGTAAAAATGGTTCATGTCGTCCATACATGTAGGAGTTTTATTCGAAGTTATAAAATAGACGTTTGCTCAGCAGTTTGATCATATTTCTCACCTGCAAACCAATCATGGCAAGCGTTACTGCTCTCTCTGTCAAGGGGATTTTTTTTCAACGTTGAGGATATCACTTTAAACTTGTTTTATGATATTTCCAAAGATGGGAAACTGAAATTTAACCCACTTAAGATTAAAGCAGGCAGACTGGTGGGGTATAAGATACGAGAAAATGCATTTTTGTTTCATACTAATTATGTGGTTTTCTTAGTACTAAATACTAGACTACTACTATATTTAGAAAAACAAAAACAGAAAGTAAAGAAATGCAATTGCAGCATTCCTATTTTAGTATAACATTTTCTGAAGTCACCCGTGGTAATTCTTAAACGATATTTTCTTGTACTTTTGTCTTACGGGTTACAAAAACTTGGATTTAAAGTTGTGAGTATGGAGTTAATGAAGTGCGTAGTGGGATTATTGTACTCCGTCTTACCAGATACAAAAACTTGGATTCAAAGTTGAGTACGGAATAAATGAAGTACGAAGTGGGACCACGCAAACCTTATCCATATTTTGAGAATAAATTTATATATCATGATTCAAGTCCAAAGTAGGGGATTTGTAAATAAACCTGCTCGGATCAATCCACCAAACAGATAGAAATAAGAAAAAGAGAAGAGAGAGAAAAATTATTAAAAATAGAAAAGAAAAAAGGGAAATTAAGGCGCCCTCAATTTCCCGCCAAATCTCAAAGTTATCCCACAAAATCACTCACCGTCCAGCTGCTCTTCTAAGTTCTAAACCCTACCTCCTTCTTCAATCCCAAAAAACAATAAATTCAAATAAAAGAGTGGAAAAAAGATCAGGGAAGGAAGATAAAGAATGAAGGGAGGTACAGTTCAGATCAATTGGCACGACACGAAGCCCGTTTTGTGCCTCGATTTTCACCACCTCTCCGGCGTTCTTGCTACTGGTGGCGCCGACTATGACATCAAGGTTAAAATTACTATTTTACCCTTCTTCATTTCCCTCTGGTACTTCTAAATTTTGTCTCTGCTTTGATTTTTCTTGCATGGTGAATTTTGCTTTTAGTAATTATTTTAGTTGGTTCCTCTGAGATATCGGAATTCTCTTTTGCATTTTCATTCACTAGTTTACAGTTTCTATCTTGATTTTCTCAATCCGTCAAAGTATATTTATGATATTGTAAAATTCGAGCTACAACAACCTTTAAAGTTCAAAGGAAATGAAAATACAGTAAACACCATCTCCAAGGCGGCAAGGCCATGCATCATTAATCATGGTCAGTTACTTCTGGTGCGTCACATCTCTAATGTCGTGTAGAATGATCCATGTTAAAAAGACAATATCGAAAAATGAAAGTGCAAAAATTGGCTCTGAAAGGTCAGCAAGGGTATCGTCTTCTTTGCAGCATCATGCAAGAGTTGGGGATAGGCATTTGATGCAATATTCCTAGCATGTGATATTCTTACCAATTGAGTATCATTTCGATGAATGCCCACATTAGTCTAATTAGAAAACTTGTTCATGAATTTTAGAGTAATATCTAACTGCCCAGATGTACTCATCCAGTTAACCAAGCAACTACAATGTTTCTCTTCAGGGAGTTTATGATCCCTTGCACTGGCTCGAAAAACTCTTTACTTTGTTGACTAATTCATAACCATTGAGAGGAGGAGCAACAGACCATAAATAAAAACACAGCCTTAATTGAATAACCGCAGTGTGGATATGCTCCTTTTAACGACTTTTTTATTTGCAGCTGCAGGATAACTCCTATTAAAAGGAACATCACAACTAATGCAAACGTCCAACCAAATCTGTTTATTGTCCAATGCAGACAAAATAATCCAACTAAAAGAATGACAGCAACAGACCTTACTATTTTCACCGTGCTTATCTTAGGTTGGTCCACCTTTATGCTACTAAAAGTTGAAAGAAATGATGTAACAGGAGTGACAATTCCATCAGTTATGCTAGTGCGAATTTCCAACAACTATAAGAATAAAAATTTCACTCTTCCTGAATGAATAGGCCTCCAGCTATCTTTCTGTTGTTACAGCAGATGAATGCTCACAGAGGTTGCTACATCTGGCTTCTCCTCTGTCTGGTATTAGTTGTGAAATATCTTTACCTCAACATGTTGGTGTGTAAGCATTTTCCTAGGTTTGGTAGCTTCGTGATATTTATAAGCAGTCGCACTACGCCTGGGCTAACAGATCCTAACTAATAAGCCTTTTCACCCACATAAGCTGAAAATTTATTTTCTTCAATTCAAAGCTAATTGAATTTGTTGCATTGGCATTATTCAACGACTTTCACTGCCTCTTGTAGTTACCCAGCTTGGTCAAGAAAGTCCACCAGTGAAGCATAATTTTGATCCCCTGGTTTCCTAATGTGCTTGTGTTGAGCACAAAAAATCAATACTGCATTCCACGTTCCTTAATTCCTAAAGGCACAATTAGCACCTTCAATCATACCACAAGGAGTATTAAGGACACATTTCTTGTACCATGTTGATGTATTAACCACTAGTTTCTAATTAGCTGATATATAAAGCACTAACATATTTACTTTATTGATACCATTTTTATGTGGAATGGAATATGACATCATTGGGTTCATAAAATTTTCAACAGATGTGGGTGATTGATTCTGGGGAAAATGAGAAGAAAGCGCCTTCAGTTTCATACCAGACTAGCCTTTCTTACCATAGTTCTGCTGTTAATGCACTTCGGTTCTCTCCTTCAGGTAATTGGCTTTGTTAAAAGGTTGTGGTATCTATTTTTGAATTTTACATTGATTAAAGCATTATTACGAGGCAAGAATTCATACATGGTTATCTTCTGTGGGTTGTTGGAGTTTCCTCTGAAGCTGTAGGTTGTTTCATGCAATTTATGTGTATGTTGGTGTTTGAATGACTGACTTTCTTCTCTATGTTTCTGTATACTTTAGTGAGGCAAAATGTAATATTGGTTTTCTAGAGGGTCGGCATTTGATATAGTTATCTGCTGACTCTACTTAAGCTGCACTGGGCTGTGAACTTGGTTCTTTCTTTTTTCTTTTAGCTTTTTTTTTTTTCAAATATTGCTATCGTTGAATTAGTCTTGTAGGTTTTCATCTCCTTTAATTTCAGCAAGCTGATGGCTTGTTAGCCAGATTCTTGAACTAATTTCTGCAAAATGTATTTTTATCCAGGTGACCTCTGTGGTGCTTAGAAGATTAATACTAGAAAGTTAGATTATCAGCTATTAGATATTATTAGATGATTTTTCTGGAATTTTTGCTATAAATTCAGAAATTCCTGTAGTGAGAATCTTTTTGCTGGATATCCAGTTGAGATCTCGTTAATTTGAGAACTGGAAATACAGAGTGGAGTGTGGAACTTCTTTTGCAGTCAGACGTGTTGGATACTGAGTTGTGATGAGGTTCACGAAATCATCAATTACCTTGGACTGTGTAGAGAGAGAAGGTTGCTCTTGCTACGAATGAAACAAATGTAGTTTTATTTGACTTACTTCAAAGTCAATTCATATTACAAGCCTATCTTGCCTCTCTGGATTGATCATTTTGTTGAAAAAGTTAAAGTTTCTGCTAACTGTGTGACTGTGGGTACTTCATTTTAGCAACTTTTGTAGTTACCATAAGTTTTTACTATAACTGACCTTTTGATGCATGCCTCTGTCTGATTTATTAATCTGTTAGATAATATACTTGTACTATCTAGTTAGTCAAAAAACTGAATACCATTTTCTGTAATATGCAGGAGAGCATTTGGCCTCTGGTGCAGATGGTATAGACTTGTCCTATAAATCTCTCCATTTAGCCTAAGATCAAATGATTTAACTTTCCTCTGCTGCATTTTCTTCTTTTCCACTTTTTATTTATGTCTCTTTGTATTTTAAGAGTACTACTACTGATGTAGGTGGTGAGCTCATCATCTGGAAGCTTCATTCTTCAGATGACAGTAAAACATGGAAAGTCCTGAAGACGTTATCGTAAGCCTTTGATTTGGTCCAATTGTCATATTGAATTTCTAAGCACTCTTAGGGATAGCTATAGAGTGCTTGCTGCTTTTTAAATGCTGAAAGGAACTGGAAAATAATACATTTGAGAGCACTGGCTCGAAAATGAAACATTAGCTACTGTTTTTCTGGTTTGAGTTTTATGGTTTATCCAGGGATTTATCGGAAAATGCTGTTTGGTTCTTGTCCTGCATTTTCGTATTCTGATCCTTATCTTTTATGCTTGTCAAATAAATTTTTAGCCTGATGTTCGAAGAAAGTAATAGTTCTATTTGGCATTTGAGTAGCCTGACTTTGTTTAGTGGATGCAGGTAGGTAGACGAGGGTTTTGCTTTTGGGATTATAGGATATTTTAACCACATGAAACAGTTGCAGTGTGAGATAACAAGTAATGTTTTTTCTTTTTTTTTGATCAGTTAATGTATTTCATAGAAGGCATCAAGAAGATGCAGAATTCAGAATTTACAGAGCAAAGGAATAGAGAAAAATAGAAGACAATGTTAGCTCTATTACAAAAGGTCTAATCTAAAGTTAAGGAGCTAACAAAGTCCAAAAAAGATTCAGGGGAATTGACAGGGGAGAGATTACTCCAACTACAAAAACTTGTTAAACATCTAGCCTTAAGAACGTAATTTGGAGTAGTAATTCCTTCAAAGCATCTGGTGTTTCTTTCTGTCCAGACACACCAGAAAATACAAGCAGGGTGCAGGGATCATCTTCCAAACTTTCCTGATGGATTTCCCAACCTTCCATGAGCTCCAGCTAACCAGGACATCTTTAACACTCTCAGGAATAACCCAGTCAAGACCAAAAGCTGAGATGAGCATGTTCCATACATCTGCAACAGCTGTACAATGTAAAAAAAGATGTCTATTGGTCTCTAAGGCATGTTGACACATGTAGCATCTGTTGACTGTGGGGATGCTTCTTCTGCTAAGATTGACTTGAGTGAGCAAGGCTTCATAGAGGGCTATCCAACTAAAGCAAATCACCTTTGGAGGTAGCTTAGTTTTCCAAATTAATTTCCATGGCCAATTGATTAACATTTCATTTTGAGTAAATTGCGTGTAGTAGCCTGCCTTCACAGAGTACTTACCATCGGCTTTATTCCCCCAAATGAGTCTGTCTGATGCCTGATCATTAATTAAGACTGTCCCTAGTCTTTCCAGTAGGTTGAGAAGATCTTGCAGCTCCCAATCTTGTATGTTCCTCCTGAATAAAGGGTTCCAGGAATAATCAACTCTGTTTTGTGAAATAGTTGACTGTTTTCTTGTGGATATTGAATAAAGGTTCAGAAAATCAGCTTGCAATGTTGAGTCCCCCAGCCATTTATCTTCCCAGAACCTTATTTTTGCTCCATTGCCTACCTTAAATTTGCATTGGTGATAAAACTCTTCCCCTAGCTTGTTGATATACTTCCAAGGTCCTACTCCATATGGTGATCTACCAACCTTGGTACTCCAGTGATTTTTATTGCCATGTTTTGCAGTTACCACCTCCTTCCAAAGGGCTTGATCCTCTTGTGAATATCTCCACAGCCATTTCATAAGCATGCTCTTTTTATGGACTGTGAGATCTCTAATTCCTAGGCCACCTTGTCACTTTGGTAGTGTTACTTTTTTCCAATTAACCTAGTGGAATTTATGAGTTTGCTGCTTCCTTATCCTTCCCATAGAAAATTCCTCCTGTATTTGTCTATGTGCTTCAGCACCTTTCTTAGGATGGGAAATAGAGACATAAGATAGGTGGGAAGGTTATCCAAGATGTTGATGAGTGTGTGTCTCCCTCCCATGGAAAGGTATTGCATTTGCCAGTTAGCTGGTCTTCTTTCAATTTTTTCAGTGACTCCACTCCATATATTAGATGACTTGAACTTTGCTCCTAGTGGAAGCTCCAGATATGTAGTTGGTAGTGTGCCAGTACTACAACATAGAATGTAAGCCAGGCCCTCCAGATTAAAAACATCATTGACATGACAAAAGACACTCTTATCATATTAATGTGTAAACCTGAAAGAGCTTCAAAAATAAGCAAGGCCAGATTTAAATGCAGCACTTGAGATTCTTCAGCCCCACAGAAAATTAGGGTGTCATCTGCATATAGCAGATGTGAGACAATCACTCTATTCCCGGACCTGCTACCAACTTCAAAGCCTTTGAATCATTGTAAATTCTTGGCTTTATTTAGCATGTTACTGAGACCTTTCATGCCAATGATGAAGAGAAAAGGTGAGAGAGGATCCCCTGCCTAAGACCCTTTTGAGGAGAGAAGAAGCCGGTTGAGCTTGAATTATGGTAGTGCATAACTTATCCTTTTAATCCATTTGTTTCCAGAACCCATTTTCCTCAGCATCATAAAGAGAAAATTCCAGTTTAGCTGGTCAAAAGCTTTCTCTATATCCAGTTTGCATAAGAGAACTGCTTCCCCTGATTTAAGTTTCCAATCCAAAATCTCATTAGCAACTAGAGATGCATCTGTAATCTGCCTTCCTTTAATGAAAGCATTTTTCTTCCCAGAAATAAGTTTCCAAATGACTTTTTTCAATCTTTCAGCAAACAGCTTTGCAACTATTTTATACACACTTCCTATTTGACTTATTGGTCTAAAATCTCCGAGTTCCATAGCCCCTTTCTTCTTTGGAATTAGAGCGATGAATGATGCATTGCAATATCTCGGTTTGTAACCACATGTTCTCAAATTTAAAGTATGAGGGGTTAACCTTCCAGTCTCCACTTTCCAGGATTATAGGCTTATGATCTGAAATAACATTAGGGAGCACCATCTGAGTTACCTTCTTGAAGGTGTCACTCAAGTCATTAGCTATGAGGAACCTGTCAATTCTAGAAGCCTGATGTATGTTCTCACCCTTGGTCCAAGTATAAGTAGCACCATGAAGAGGCAAATCAATAAGGCAAAGATCTTTAATTGTATCAAAGAAGTTTTTCATTGCCTTTGATCGTTTATTGCAATTGAGCCTTTCATGCTCGTATCTGCATACATTAAAATCACCCCCAATCGCCCAATGATTATTCCATAACCCTCGGATTGCTGCAAGTTCATCCCAAAATACCTTCTTTCAGGGTTTGTGTGTGGGCCATAGATCCCTGTAAAACACTACCTGAAGTTTTCATGGGCACTTTCTAACATATTAGAAGTTGTATAGGATCCCTGATGAATGTCTATGCAATTCCAATTCCTTTTACCCCATAAATTTACCACCCCACCCTTGTTGTCAATGGCTTGCATCTCTGCCCATCTAGACCCCATCAAATGTTATGAAAGACAATCTGGCCATTCATTGGTCTCCTGAATACATACAATATCAGCTCTCCAACTTTGAATTAAAGACTTCAAAGTTCCCCTATTTTCCCTTTCATTGAGCTCCCGTACATTCTAACTCAGAATTCGTAATTTCATTTTGAATGGAGTTTGTGAATCCTGCCCCTTTCAATACTAGTGCTCCCTCTTTCTGAACTTTCTCCACCCTCATAATTCACCAAAAGTTTTAGCTTCTCTAGTTCTGTCTCCTTTGACTTTTTCTTCTTTGTTGGTTTCTTTAATAATTTTTTCTGTTGTATTTGCAATTGCCGTTTTTCCTCCGGAATAATGTCCAAAAACTCATGTTCGAATCTAGCCATGTTGACTCCGAAGACTTTGCTAGCCTTCACCATCACCATTTTGGTCCATCGTGATGTCTCGGCCACAACTGGGTTTTATATAAATTGAGGAATCGGCCCTTCCTCATGCCATGGGAGAGATAGAAAATCAGAAGGAGAAGAGAAGTCAGAGTCGGATTGACTAGTGAGAGACCTCTCTGGTGTTGGAACCACACTTAGTAGTTTTCTCAAACACTGCCTCTGGGTCGGCTTCGTCATCCGCATCAGAGATAGTAGAGAGACGAGAGTTAGCTGGTGGAGGGACTCTAATATTTCTATTAGAGTTTATATCGCCAGCTGCCGCTTTGGATATGGGCTCCTTTGATAATACACTGAATTGATTGGAGCAATGGGTAGTGTTAATTAGGTCCACCCTTTTCCAATAAGACTTGGTATTTTGCTCTTGGGCTTTATGCTTTAGGTCGACCATATAGTAGCTTTGATCCACATTCTGGCTCAGTTGATTAAAACTTAAGTTGGCTTTAACCGATGGATTAAAAGAAGTCACCTGCTCTCCCACATGCCTACTCCCTGAAGCAGTAGGAGTCATTTTTTGTTGGCTCGATGTACCAACCCCATTCGTCGACAATACCTTCTTCTCCGATAAGCCCAAGGAGCTTTCGCCGGCATCACTTTTCCCGATTGGACTGAGCTTTACCGACTTATCTGGCAGAATAGTGATTTCATAATTCCAGTCACCAACCTCAATATTTACTTTCTCAGGTTGTTGGCCTATAGGATCCTTCACACAAATTCTAGCCCAGAGAAGGTGCGTTCTATACTTGGTGTCCAGGTCTGTATCGACAAACCCACCATAGAGTTCTCCTATGGTGCAGAAAGTACTCGAGCACCATGCATGAAGAGGAATACCAAAGGCTTTAACCCAGTGTGGCTGATCGTTCGTTAAGGTTGAACCAGTTGCCGGTGACCACCATTCTAAAGTTAAATGGCGATCATTCCAAAACCAATCACCTGCTAGGATTCTCATTGCCTCCTGTCTTGAGGGGAACTCAAAGAGAGAGATTATGGTTCGTTAAGGTTGAACCAGTTGCCGGTGACCACCATTCTAAAGTTAAATGGCGATCATTCCAAAACCAATCACCTGCTAGGATTCTCATTGCCTCTTGTCTTGAGGGGAACTCAAAGAGAGAGATTATGGTCCATGGGTGTAATTGTGAGTCCAGCCGTTACTTTCCATCTAGACTCTAGAGGTGAACCATTTGTGAATGGCGGGTGAAGGGTTAAATTCATCTCAAATGTAGGCTCCCCTTTATTCTGCTTAAACCAAAATATTATCCAAATGAATTGACCCTTGGAGTAACGGTAAAGTTATTTCTGCGTGACCTATAGGTCACGGGTTCAAGCCGTGGAATTAGCCACTAATACTTGCATTAGGGTAGGCTGTCTACATCACATCCCTTGGGTGCGGCCCTTCCCCGGACCCTGCGTGACTGCAAGATTATTTGTGCACCGGGCTACCTTTTTGGTTTATGCAGAATGTTGCAATCAACCAGCATATGCACTATATAATCACTGATTTTACAGGAAAAGAATCGGATTTATGTGCTAATCAAACTTTAACAAGAATGTTATTGTATATATATATATATATATTAATTTATTTTGCTAACGTCTACCCTAAATAATAAGTAATCCCAATATAAATAATCCATAATATTCTGATAGTCCATATTAAACAGACTTCCCGAATGTTGGTCATAACTTTCCAGCTTAGTTTTTCTTCGAGGAAGTGCTTAAACTGTCAACTGCGATAGTCATGGATAAGATATTTCACCTATTGCCTTTGAGTTGCTGTAACAAAAGGAGCATAATCATTGTTTTAATGAAATTATTTCTTATTCGATACAAGTACTCAAGACTTGATCTTTCTCAGATTTCATCGTAAGGATGTATTGGACTTGGAGTGGTCTACTGATGGTTCTTTTCTAATTTCTGGTTCTGTTGATAATTCATGCATCATATGGGATGTCAACAAAGGTAAGAAATAAATGAGGATCTAACTGAAGGATTTTTAAGTAGAGATAAATAAACTTTATACTGACAGTCTGCCATTTCCTCATCAGGTTCAGTTCATCAGATATTGGATGCTCATTTGCACTACGTGCAAGGTGTGACGTGGGATCCATTGTCCAAGTATGCTGCCTCACTCAGTTCAGATAGATCTTGCCGGATTTACATCAACAGACCATCTAAAACAAAAGGAGTTGAGAAGTTGAATTTTGTGTGTCAACATGTCATTATGAAGGTTGAACCACAACAGCCGGATGAGTCCAAGGTCATATATCATATCAGTTCCTTATTCAGTATAAGTTAATGTTACATACATAATAACTTTTGCTCATGCAAATGTGTGCAGTCTACTAAAAATCATCTCTTTCTTGATGAGACACTACCATCTTTCTTCAGAAGATTATCTTGGTCCCCTGATGGTTCCTTTCTGCTTGTGCCTGCAGGTACAACCTTGACATTTTGATCATTCTTTTGACTTGTTTCCCTAAAGTTATCTCATCTCTTTCTACATCTTCTCCCCTGCTCCCAACCAAAAAAAAAAAAAAAGATCTATCAAGCCTTCATGTGTTCTTTTTATCTTGAAGACTTAACATATTTCTTCGTTCTTGCAATGACGTGACATTGGTGACTAGGGATGTGCATAATTTGGTAAATACCGAATTACTGTATCGAAACCGAAAATTTTGGTATTCGGTATGGTATTTGGTATTTTAAAATGAAAAACCGATACCGTACCGAAATATATATTATATTACACAATGCACATTTTATTAATTATAACATAAGTATAAGAAATCTAAAATTTTACTTTATTCTTTAAATTCATCAATTAACTCTAAGCAAGTAACAGGACATTTCTCTAAGTTTTCTCTCTCTAGGNATATATATATATATATCCAAACAGTTCCTTTTTTACCTAATGAAATTTTCAAAATTTCTACACTTTCAGAGTGAGCCAATAATGCAGCATTGGGACCTCATTTGCTGGTCAAAAAATAATACTAGTACACCCAAATATTCAGACTAAAATCATCCCATGGCTCTCTATGACTGTCTTGACATTTTTGTAGTGTCAGGTTAATCTCCACATGACAGCTGTTGTAATTCCCATTTAAGCTATATAATTCCCATTTAAGCTACATATCTTTGGACTCTTCATTTGCATTTCTTGCAATTTACTGCCAATGGAAGGTAGAACTATACTCGAGATAGAGCTTCTAGAGAAAGAAACTTGGACTTCTTCGGATCTGTTTCTTCATGTGATAGTGCTAATGTGGTAGATCAAAGGCGTTCTACCTGTATTCTTTTTTTGTTTACTTTTATCGTTATGATTATCATTTTTGGGGGGTGGACGAGAACTCTACTTCTCACTTTTCGTTTCAAGCCACATGGGCCTCATCTCTTTTTACGCTTTTAAAAGCACTGCATTGAAAGGATATAGACGTGTTCTGCTATTTCAGGTTCTTACAAGTTTACACCTGCTTCAGAACCATCGAACACTGCTTATGTGTTTTCCAGAAAAGATCTCTCAAGGCAAGGATTCTTCTCTTTGGTACTATATTATTTACTAGGGTGACTCCATTATATTCGCTCTAGAAGCTAGATCACAACAGTCTAATACTGTCGTCTCAACTTCCTTGGATATTCACAGGCCAGCTTTAATGCTCCCAGGTGCCAGCAAACCTGTTGTTGCTGTACGCTTTTGCCCCATGACTTTTAGTTTGAGAGGATCAAGCAATTGTAGGTTCTCCTACTGGATTCCTTTTTTAGTTGATTGTGCTGTGTTATTTTCTGATACCACCACGATCCTTTTTAATGACTGCAGCCTCATTCTTCAAGCTCCCTTATCGTCTTATTTTTGCTGTGGCTACATTGAATTCTTTGTACGTCTATGACACGGAAAGCGTACAACCAATAGCAATCGTAGCCGGTCTTCATTACGCTGCTGTAACAGACATAGCATGGTATATTCCTAGCTTCCGTATTCTTTTCCAAATGCAGTCAGCACTCCCATTCTCTCCCATGCAGCATTGTAGAAATTATTTAATTCGTTCTTTCTTTTGACCTAAATAACAATGCAATGATGTATTTCTATGACTCTGTCAAGGTCGGCTAATGGGAAATATCTGGCTTTATCCTCCCAAGATGGTTACTGCACTCTGCTAGAATTCGAGAATGAAGAACTAGGATCCACTTTATGTAGCCCAGGTTTGCTATGTTTCTCCAACTAATGGTTAATGTTTTATCCATGTTATCTTCCTCATCCTGACTAACAATTTTGTTTCTGTTGGAAATTGTTTGCAGAGAAAGAAATTGCTGGAGGTGATAGAAATATTGAGCAGAAACAGGAGGCAAATGTTCCACAAACTATTAGCAGTGATAAGTCCATGGATATAGATAGTGGAAAAGCAGAAGAGAAAACAGAACTGAAACAAGAACCAATAATATCAACTCCACAAATTCCTAATAAACCTACCAGAAAAAGGATCACACCAATGGCCATTGATTGATTTTGGTAGTTCTCTGAAATTCTTGTTTGCTCTTTTTGTTCCATTTCCTTTTTTTTTTTTTTT